GTGAGGGAAACTGGATCCCCCCATCCCCTCAATGAGGGAACTGGATCCCCCCACTCCCTCAGTGAGGGAAATTGGATCCCCCCTCCCTCAATGAGTGAAACTGGATCCCCCCGTCCCCTCAGTGATGAGAACTGGATCCCCTGGTCCCCTCAGTGAGAGAAACTGGATCCCCCCACCCTCTCAGTGAGGGGAACTGGATCCCCCTGTCCCTCAGTGAGGGAAACTGGATCACCCGTCCCCTCAGTGAGCGGAACTGGATCCCCCCGTCTCCTCAGTGAGGGGAACTGGATCACTCCTCCCCTCAGTGAGGGGAACTGGATCCCCTCATCCCCTCAGTGAGAGAAACTGGATCCCCCCGCCCCCTCAGTGAGGGAAACTGGATTCCCCCATCCCCTCAGTGAGGGAAACTGGATCACTCGTCCCCTCAGTGAGGGAAACTGGATCACTCGTCCCCTCAGTGAGGGAAACTGGATCCCCCATCCCCTCAATGAGGGAACTGGATCCCCCCGCCCCCTCAATGAGGGAAACTGGATCCCCCTGCCCCCTCAGTGAGGGAAACTGGATCTCCCTGTCCCCTCAGTGATGGGAAACTGGATCCCCCCGCCCCCTCAGTGAGGGAAACTGGATCTCCCTGTCCCCTCAGTGAGGGGAACTGGATCTCCCCATCCCCTCAGTGAGGGGAACTGGATTCCACTGTCTCCTCAGAGAGGGAAAACTGGATCCCGCCTCCCCCCGCCCCATCTCCACCCTCCACAGTGTGGGTGTTGGGACACTGTTTGGATATTTCTCGTTGAGGAGGTGCTGATTTTATTTCCCTCTTGGCTGGGAGTGTTCAGGGGATGTGGATCTGAGATGAAGGTATCGGAACTTGGGGCAGGAGTCGGCCATTCAGCCCCTTGAGCCTGCTCTGCTGTTGTACATCATGGCTGATCAACCAGCTCCATGCTGTATTCCTGAACTACCTCGCCATGTCTTGATGTCTTTAATAACTCAAAATCTCTCAGTCTCTGTCCTAAACATATTTAATTACTGGGTACAACACATCTGTGGGTTAACTGAATGGCTGGAAGGGCTGAATGGCCTTCTGTTGTCAATAGTGCATGTCTTTGTCTGTGATCTATTTGATATAGTCATGGTTTCTGTGTAAATAATTGAATTTTCTTTATGTTTATGCGATGCTTTTTTCAGGCTTTCTGAAGACAGCTGCTTCAAAGACCAGGCTGGGTTTGTTTTTTGAACTTGTGACCAGGAGCTGGTCCCCGCCTGGCGAATGGGAGATCACTGCTGGATATAAACCCTGCCAAACTGGAGGGCCCAGCACACACTGCGGCCAGCCCACTGTCCACTTACCTCCCGAGACCTGCCTTCACCATTGGACCTGAGGATGGATACCTCAGAGAGCAGCTGCCTGGGAAAGAATTCCAAGATGTGGGAACAATTACTGGTGAGTGCCACTGAGAAAGAAACAAGACCAATGAGACTTTAGGACCAGTTTATGCTCCAGGGCATGAGCACAAAGCAGCTGCTTGATTGGAACCACATCTCCCACCTTCAGCATCCACCACAATCCTCAGTCGCAGCAGTGTGTACCATCTACAAGATGCACTGCAGAAATTCACCTAAAGATCCTCAGGCAGCACCTTCCAAACCCATGACCACTTCCATCTAGAAGGACAAGGGCAGCAGATACATGGGAACACCATCTGCTGCAAGATCCCTTCCAAGCCACTCACCATCCTGACTTGGAAATATATCGCCGTTCCTTCACTGTCACTGGGTCCAAATCCCAGAACTCTCTCCCTAAAGTCATTGTGGGTCAACCCACACAGCAGGTCAACTGCAGCAGTTCAAGAAGGCAGCTCACCACCACCTTCTCAAGGGCAGTGCCAGCCCCTTGACCCTGGTCCTGAGTGTTTCTGCACTGATTAGCAGTGTGGCTCACTGGATACAGTCTGCAACAACAGTGGGGGAGTTTGTGGCTGGTTGCTTTGGAGAGTGTTGAGGTGACTCCAACTCTTGTTGTCTCAAGGTACAGGAGGGGGCCTTGTATCCCCAGTGAGAGGATTCTATTGGCCTCAGCATTAATACAGGAAGCAATAATCATGCTCAGTTCCCATGTTCAAAGAACCAAACTGTCAGAACAGCACTGCAGAATGTATGGGAATTGTGTGTGCGTGTGTCTGTTTGTCTCTATGTGTGTGTGTGTGCGTCTGTCTGTCTATATGTGTGTGTGTGTATCTGTATAGGTAGGTGTGTCTATCTGTATGTGTTTGTGTGTGTATGGGTAGGTGTGTCTGTCTGTATGTGTGTGTGTCTGTATGGGTAGGTGTGTCTGTATGTGTTTGTGTGTGTATGGGTAGGTGTGTCTGTCTGTATGTGTGTGTGTCTGTATGGGCAGGTGTGACTGTCTATGTGTGTGTGTTTGTGTGTTTATGTGGATGTCTGAGGGAATGCTGCGCTGTCAGAAATGATGTTTTTCAATTAAGACTTTTAAATGAAGGTTCTATGTGTCTTCTCAAGTGGACAGAGAAGAACCTTCAGCCACAATTGGAAGGAAGAGAATTTGCCTCAGTGTCCCCGGCCCACACCCCCCTACCTTTTCCTGCCATTGCTCCTTGTACCATTGCAGTTTGAATCCATGTTCCTCAGCTTGCTGTACTGATTCTTGTCACAAGAGGGGGTAGATGTTCCATGTTGCGGTCAAGAAGGTGGCGATCCCTTTGAGGGACTGAGATAACAAGGTGTAGAGCTGGATGAACACAGCAGGCCAAGCAGCATCACAGGAGCAGGAAAGCTGATGTTTCGGGCCTAGACCCCTCATCAGAAAATGGGGGAGGGGAAGGGGGTTCTGAAATAAATAGGGAGAGAGTGGGAGGCGGATAGAAGAGGGATAGAGGAGAGGATAGGTGGAGAGGAAACAAACAGGTTGAAGAGGCGGGGATGGAGCCAGTAAAGGTGAGTGTAGGTAGGGAGTTAGGGAGGAGATAGGTCAGTCCAGGGAGGACGGACAGGTCAAGAGGGCGGGATGAGGTTAGTAGGTAGGAGATGGGAGTGGGGGTTGAGGTGGGAGGAGGGGATAGGTGGGAGGAAGAACAGGTTAGGGAGGCGGGGACGAGCTGGACTGGTTTTGGGATGCGGTAGGGGGAGGGGAGATTTTAAAACTTGTGAAATCCACATTGATACCATTGGGCTGCAGGGTTCCCAAGTGGAATATGAGTTGCTGTTCCTGCAACCTTTGGGTAGCATCGTTGTGGCACTGCAGGAGGCCCAGGATGGACATGTTGTCTGAGGAATGGGAGGGGGAGTTGAAATGGTTTGCGATTGGGAGGTGCAGTTGTTTATTGCGAACCGAGCGTAGGTGTTCTGCAAAGCGGTCCCCAAGCCTCCGCTTGGTTTCCCCGATGTAGAGGAAGCCACACCGGGTACAGCGGATGCAGTATACCACATTGGCAGATGTGCAGGTGAACATCTGCTTGATGTGGAAAGTCTTCTTGGGGCCTGGGATGGGGGTGAGGGAGGAGGTATGGGGGCAGGTGTAGCACTTCCTGCGGTTGCAGGGAAAAGTGCCGGGTGTGGTGGGGCAGGAGGGGAGTGTGGAGCGGACAAGGGAGTCCCGGAGGGAGTGGTCCCTCCAGAAAGCAGATAAGGGTGGGGAGGGAAAAATGTCTTTGGTGGTGGGATCGGATTGCAGATGGCGGAAGTGTTGGAGGATGATGTGTTGGATCCGGAGGTTGGTGGGGTGGTACATGAGGACGAGGGGGATTCTGTTTTGGTTGTTATTGCGGGGAGGGGGTGTGAGGGATGAGTTGCGGGAAATGCAGGAGACACGGTTGAGGGCGTTCTCGACCACTGAGGGGAGGACGTTGCGGTCCTTGAAAAACGAGGACATCTGAGATGTACAGGAGTGGAATGCCTCATCCTGGGAGCAGATGCGGCGGAGGCGAAGGAATTGGGAATAGGGGATGGCATTTTTGCAGGAAGGTGGGTGGGAGGAGGTGTATTCTAGGTAGCTGTGGGAGTCGGTGGGCTTGAAATAGATATCCGTTTCTAGGTGGTTGCTGGAGATGGGGACAGAGAGGTCCAGGAAGGAGAGAGAGGTATTAGAGATGGTCCAGGTGAACTTAAGGTTGGGGTGGAAGGTGTTGGTGAAGTGGATGAACTGTTCGAGCTCCTCGTGGGAGCACGAGGCGGCGCCGATACAGTCATCAATGTAACGGAGGAAGAGGTTCGTTTAAGGAACTCACTGGTTTCTGATTCAGACCCTCAGGGGCTTTTCAAAAACAGATTAGATTATTAAAGGAGAGGAGCTTTTGAGGAATTTATTCCCACACAGGGGGATCCTAATTACAGCATGTGACCCACTTTACAGCAAGTGACCCTTGAGTTTTACGTTTGCAAATAACGAGAGAGGGGGCTGGTTTTATGAATCGCCCTCGACTTTAAATGAGTCGATGGTCTTACCCCCTACCGTCTCTGAACCTTGTCCATCTGTACAATCCTCAGAGATCTCTGCACTCCACCAATTCCATCCCTTGTGGGATTTTGGCAGCACCGGCCCCCAATACAGGTTGTGGTTACAAAGCAGAGAGTTCGATTTGACAAATTCGTGAATTAAGCAAAGGGAGTGTACAACAGTGAGAATGGTTCACTGATTTCAGAGACACACGGAGATACACACACAGTCATACACACACATACAGTCATACACACACAGACACACACACACACAGTCATACACGCTCAAACACACACAGTCATACATGCTCACACACACAGTCATACATACTCACGCACAATCATACATGCTCAAACACACACACACACATAAAGACACAGACAACACTCGGACACACACTCAGACACACACACACACACACATAAAGACACAGACACACAGACAGACACACACTCAGACACACACACAGAGACACAGAGATGCACACACAAACATAGATTTATTTGATGTCACTTTATTGAACAGACAGACTGCACTGGTTTTTATTCTCACCTCCTTGTGACCTTGTTCTTTAGAAATTGTTTATGTTCCAGGAGGGGAGCTATCGGCTGGAATAGCTGTGACATGAGCTCTCCTGTTAAACAGGAAACAGCGAGAAAAGTTCTGCTTTCAGGGACTCCAGTTCCCAACATTGAGTTTTCTCTGTTCCATTATTGGTTGCTGGCAGGTTCTGAACAGCCTCATGTTCATAGCCCCCTCCCCTCTCTCACCCACCCACAAAACCCTCACTCCAATCCTCACTCCCC